TTTTTTTTTGCGTTGTTTTAGGTTATTAATTACATACTCTCTCTCTCTCTCTCTCTTACAGTTTATGCAAAATTCTGGAGAAATCGAGCTATTACCTTGGATCTCGAAATTGAAAGAACTTTTAGATAACAAAGAAGAGAATGGAGAGAAACTAGAAAATTGATAGAAAATCAAAATCAAATTTAGTTACCACCAGATCCGCCAGAACAATAAGATTCACCAAAAGCATCAGCCAACCATGGAGAAGCTCTTAGGGATTATTGAATCCCATCCTAACTCATGTGCAACCGGCTATTATATGTCTACCTTTTGGGCAGGCCAACTTCCATATTAGACCAGATGTCATCATTTTGTTTCAAAATCATCAGGAGATCAGGTTCTTTAGAAGATCAACTGAAAATTATCATGAACATGTTCAAGCCTTCTTGATGCTTTGCGATATGATCAATCATGAAGGCATGTATGTTGACACTTATTGACTTGCATGTTCCCTCACATTTTAAAGGAAGGTGCACGAGAATGGTTAAATTCATTAATTCCTGGAAGTATCGTTTCATGTAATGACATGGTACAGAAATTTACTTTGAAACTTTTCCCGTTGTCTTGAGTCCATTAGATTGAAAAAGAAGCCCACATTTTCAAGCAAAGAGGCCTCGAAAGATATCTAGTAGCATGGGAAAGATTCAAAGATTACTTCAAAAGTGCCCAAATCCGAGCATCCATAAAGACTCTGAGATCTACATATTCTATTAACGCCCGAAACCTAAATTTTGCAACATAGCTTCAGCTGGAAGGTCAATCTTGGACATTTCATTTGACAACGCCTTAGACCTTTTTGAGAGAATTGCAGAAAATTAGTCTATGTGGCCAATAGACAAGGAAGCACAAAGAAGAACGATGGGGATTCAAAACATAGATGCAATAACAGTAATGGCAGTCCAATTGGAAGTGCTAACAAACAAGTTGAACAAACTAACTTAGAATATGTGCATGGTACACCAACCAGAACTAATCTACAAGGATTGTGGGGGGAGATCATATAATTGCAAATTGTTCTTTAACCTAACTTATGTTTATCAGCTTGAGAAGGTCAGTTATGCATAGAACATTCAGATGCAGAAGAATAATCCTTATTCCAACACTTATTATTTAGGTTGGAAAAATCATCATAACTATTAGTTGTTTAATAATCAAGAACATGGATATCAAATTCAGGGCAACCCAAAAGAATTTCAACAGCAACAAGAGAATATGTCATTTTTGGAGGGTCTACTTGCTAAGTACATCACCAAGACTAAGATTGGAATCTAAAACTAGCAAGCTTCTATCCAAAATTTAGAAAATCATGTAGGGCAATTAGCTGCTACATTGGCCAATAGAATACAGAGTACCCTTCCAAGTGACACAGAAAATAACCTAAGAGAATAAGTATTAGAGCTTATGTGTCGCATATTCCATTTCCTCAAAGGTTTCAAAGATAGCCTAAAGAGAAACGGGTTCAGTGTATCACAACACAAAAATGAGTTCAGTTGCCAGAAATCACTATGAAAGAGAAAGGGATCGAGAAGAATCAGGTGCCTACCATGGGCGAGGAACAAGTGGCTCAATCGTAAGAATAATCATATGTTAATCAAAAAGAATAATTCAAACAATTCACAGGTTAAGGCAACTGTTCTCGTCAATAAAAACACACTTTTAGTCCCATTCCTTCAAATTTGTAGAACAATAGACTGGACAAACAATTCAATAAGTTCTTGAATGCCCTCAGACAACTTCACATCAACATTCCTTTCATTGACATCATTTTACAAATTCCAAATTATACTAAATTTTTAATTGAGATGTTAACCAAGAAGAGAAAGTTGCAGAAGATGAAACTGTAGCATTGACTAAAATTGCAGTGCAATCATAATGCCTTTGCTTCCTTCTAAACA